CTCCTCTATTTATATCGCGTGAACCGACAATTCTCCCCACTTTCCTTCTCTCTCTCTCTTTCTCTCTTTCTCTCGATTCCTCTTCCCTTTCCACCGCCACGGTTGCGGTGCCACGGTTTTTTCTACGCGTGTAATTTATCGGCCGGACTCTTCCTTTTTTCCCCTCCGCCCAACCGCTGCGTACCTTTGCCCTCCCCCTCCGTTCCTCTCGACTCGGCTTACTCGCATTCGCACCACCGACGGGGCGTGTAAGCGGTGGGATGGGGCGCAGGGAGGGCGCAGCGATTTATAGTAACTGCACCCGCTGTCGTAGAATATTTTTGGCGGAATTTCTACTCTCTCTCTCTCTCTCTCTGCTCTTTTTCGTCCAGTGATCTCTATGGAACCGCGGCTCTTTCCCCCTTTCCATCCAAAGGGAAAGGCCCTTTTTTCGGCCATAAAGCATAAATGGAACTTTTCCCTACCCTTATTTTCCCCCGTTCGAAATCAATCCTTGGGTATGGGTTACGTCTGATCGCAATTTCCGGTAAAGTTTTATCGATTGTATTTTTACGATCAAGATTTTAAGATTGAGAAGCTGTAAAGAAAGATAGAAGTTTCCTATAATTCGTATAAAAGTTTCCTTTAAATTGATAACGATATCGGATCGATTCTTGATATCGCTTCGCATCGCGATGTGGCGAACCACATCGAATCCTCGTTCAAAATTTAACGATAGCTCGGTTATCTTGGCCTCTATTCGAACTCTGATCTCTTCTAAACTCAATAATCTCCGATCCCAGTTAAATAAATGCATCGCCAACTCGAGTTAAAAAATCATCACGTCATCTCTTTGAATGTTCGCAAAAGAATAAACGAGAAAAAACGATATTTCCATTGCACGATCCATTCCATTGTTCGATCGAAAGAATCGCGAACAATGATTATTCGCGCTCACTGCGCAGACAGAAAATTATTAATATAATTGCCCTTTTCGAATTGGAACTCGTTCGAGGGTGAAGGATTTCGAGTCTAATCGCGAAAGCATACTCGAACGATAGCCCGCGAGAATGCACGCGATTCAACGTAGATTCGAGCGATTCGTGTAATGTGACCGATGCGTATCGTGTCGCGATACACCCTCGAGGGATAACAAATTGGCATATCGGTGACCGTTGATGGGCGTGCATCGTTTCGTGGACAAAAACGTGGAGCGCGAGGAAGTGTTGAGCTGCCTGAACGATGAAATTCACTGGACATGTTTACGTATTTCGATGCGATTTTCGAAAGAGAAAGGGGAGATTTCGAAGGAAAAGTTGGACAAGTGAGCGAAACGTTAAAAATGATGAAATGGAGATTGGTTCTTCTTTGGAAATATCGGGCGAATATTTGGCGAATAGAAAATCGAAGGGTAATATTTTGAAGTTTGAAAAAAAATATATATATATATGCTCCAAATGAAAAGTGAAGCGATAAACCTTTAATTAAGCCGAGTGGTTGGAAACATTTTTCGATATATCGCGTGCACGTAGAAAGTTAAGGGAGGAAATCGAAAGTTCACGAGTGTCTGGCCGCCCACGCTGCTCGCATAATTACTCTCACGCTCGTACTTTCTCATTAGACGCAAATATTAGCTTGAAAATTACGGTGAACGAGATACATCAAGCCTCCCCCCCTCCCCTTCCTTCCTCATTAAGCTCGAATAATACGTATCAAAGAATCGAGGAAAGAAAGAATGCAAATTCTATAGAAGAGACAAGCAATACGGAAAAAGAAGAAGAATTTAATTCGACCTACTTAACGAATAAAAACATCCGAGTTGAAATCTCACTATCTTCGCCGATTCGATCTCCTTTCTAGAAACAGAGACGGAAAAATTGCCCTACTCCTACATAAAAACTTTTAAAAAGTATAACGCCACTTCACGATCTCCCCCTCATCGCAACCTCTTAACCCCTTGCTTCTATTCGGCATACTTTTTTCGCGATCCCTAAGAATTCCTTTGTTCAATTAAATTTCGAGAGTTCGACCGGATACCGTGAATACATTTGCAAA